TTGTTACAAGAATATTTATCTTTCTATATAATCCGTTTATAATCCAAAGTAATAACAGAACTTTTCCCATGTTATTTCCATTTAAAACTTTGGCTGTCGGGGGGGGGCCATATATATATATATATATATATATATATATATATATATATATATATATATTATAATAAAGAATGAATATTTTCAATAAAAAGCTAAGAATTTTGATCACTAAAAACAGTACTGCTGGTAATTAAATGAAATATAAATTACATTAAAAAAAAAAACGAAAAAGTTAAAAAAATACCGTACAACAAATCATTACTAAGAAAGTACCTATTATTATTAAGAGCTTAAATCTTTATTGAGTCATCTCTCTAAAAATGAATTAGTCAAAAATGACTAATTTAATAGTTATATTATTATTATACCATGGAATACCATGGTATCCCAAAATTTAACAGCCAATTCTTATGTAAAATTGTCCTCTGAATCAAAAAATACCGTCAAAAATTATGAAAGTGAGATATAGTCAATTCCATATTAAATGGAAAATTGACTATATCTTAAAAGCTGCTCTACTTTTTTAACTTTTGACGAAATTTTCGGATTCTGGGGACAATTTTACACAAGAATTGGCTGTTAAATTTTGGGATACCATGTTATTCCATGTTTAACCATGGTACAAGTGAAAAAGCAGCCACTAATAACTATTAAATTAGTAATTTTTGACTAATTCATTTTAGAGAGATTATTTTGATGTAAAGAATAATTTCACAAAATTTAAAAAATTTCACATTTAAAAAAAATTATTTGGTGGAGTACCTAACCCATATATACCAAAAATCGATATACGATGTTCTCATTTTCAAAGGTCGAAATGTCAATGCCCTGGGATTTTTATTTTAAAAAAAGTATGCAGTTAATCTAACGCATTCTTTTACATTTTAAAATCACCCCCCATAATCGAAATCTTCGCTTTGCCCCTGCTTATACAGGGTGTCACCTAATAAATTTTCATTCTTTGGAGGGATGATAGTACACGCCAAAATAAGAAAGTTTTTCCTCTATCATTTTTGCATTAAAGCTATTGTTTTTTAATTAAAAAAATTATGAATTTTTTTTGACAAAACCAGGGAGCAACTGGATGTCACTGACCTATCCTATAAATCATCATTTTTTTACCTCTAAAAACAATGATATTATTCATCCAAGTAAAAAAGAAGCAGGTATGCGCACACTGTGGGCCGCACAGTGCATGTATTTTGTAATATCAAACTTTTAAACCCATTCAAAATCGGGCCACACTAAGTACCATAGCGAAATTAACACATTAGAAGAACTCCGCGAACTTGTCACTGCAGCGGCAGATGAAAAGATGAAATCCGAAATCATCCCCCCACGAGTCAAGCAATTACCCTTTAAAAATGGGGCAACCTTTTTGCCGCACCCTGTACCTTCGGAGTTACTGGAATATTCAGTGCCATATACGTTCTTTTAAAATCTGAAATACGTTGTACATATTCTTGCTCAAGACTTTCGCGAAATCAGCAATAGAAAACTTTTACAAAACATTGGAATTGTACCTATAGGTACATATTTAATACAGCCCATGCAGCATAATGATCTTAAAATGTCAATTTTTTTAGAAGATTGTTGAATGAAGGGCCTTTGTGAGTAACATCTTTCTGAACATTACAAGCTTTAATCCATTTATCTGCATGGGAATGTGTGTACCTACATATTTAAGACAGCCCATGCAGCATAATGATCTTAAAATGTCAATTTTTTTAGAAGATTGTTGAATGAAGGGCCTTTGTGAGTAACATCTTTCTGAACATTACAAGCTTTAATCCATTTATCTGCATCCTCTGAGAAATTTAACATCATAGGTTTCACAAGAGTATATAGAGTAACGGCCAGCAATAAATGTAATTCAGGAGGGGGATATACATCTTAAAAATAGAGTATCATAGGCTTCTTCTGCAAGAAGAGGGGGTTTTTATATGAACTGCCCAAAGGCCCTTCATTCAAAGGCAATTCATGCAACAATCTTCTAAAAAAATTGACATTTTAAGATCATTATGCTGCATGGGATGTCTTAAATATAGCATGCAATTAGCGAATGTGATATTTGGTTTAATGTCGCATTCAAGCTGTTATCCCTGCACATGGTGTTCGTTCCACAAAAATATTCTGGAGTCTTCTGCAACTTTAAGAAGTATAGAAAATTCTTTAAAATATTACAATAGCTGGATTGCATCTGGGTCCAAAAACGATGAGTTAATCGGGATTTATAGATCTGACGTTGACGTTGCCGCTGGTCGTTGCAGTTTCCATTCCCGTTGGGAAACAGCGCCGGCAAGTTTATGGCATTTATAGATCAAAGTTCAACAAGAACAGCTAGCCAATCAGAATTATCCATTTTAAATCTGATCGTGCTTGTCAATTTAAAACCTATAATCCAAACATTCGTGGTGTATATTTGGTATTTGTTTTAATGTGGGCCTAAAATGAATAATAATTTTCTGTTAAGTACTTTTGGTGTGTTGCTATTCTCAGCTGCAATCATCAAGTGGAGGAAAAAATGAATAAGGCGTTTTAGAATCCGGCCAATAAACCAAAACAGACATTTAAACATGGGCGGATTTAGGCATGGGCATTATGGGCTGCAGTCCAGGGCCTTGTCCGATCGAGGGGCCCCTACGCGATGCAAATATTTTTTTTTTAATATAAATATTATTTTATAATAAATCTACTTGTTTAAAAGTTATTTAAGCTTAACATTACAGTAAATTTAAAGTTTTTTTTAAACTATCAGACTTGTAACAAAAAGTTATATAAAAATTGTAATTGTAATTTTATAATTTTTAAACTTATAGTCCTACAGTTACTGATTTTACAAATTAATAATTCTGATTATAATTAATTTCAAGAAAATATCAATTTTATTGCAAAAAATATTTGTATTTATACTGATTAAACCATTAAATCATAATTAAAACATGATATTTTTAAATAAAATAAAATGATCTACAAAAAATGATCATTAATGGTTTTACCGGGAAAGTAAAAAAAATGTTCTATGTATTTTTCTTAAGTATTAAATATCTTTTTAACGAGTAAATTTATCTTAAAATAATAGGTAAACTTTATTTTAATTCTCTAAACAATATTTTTTAATAGCATTATGAGCTTGTTAAAATATTACCCATTAATATTATTGGTTGCTAATCGCGATTTTACTTTATTTTAATTCTCTTAAAAAAGTTTTTTTCTATAAAATTTAATAGCCTTATGAGCATGTTAAAATATCACCCATTAATATATTATTGGTTGCTAATCGCGATTTTACTTTATTATTATTTAATAAAAGTTTTAATCATTTTAGTCCATTAATCCCTTAACGAGTTATATAATTTCAAAATAAAAAATATCTCATGTACCTACTTAATTTAAAAGTAAAATCAATTAGCAACCAATAATATTAATGGGTGATATTTTAACAGGCTCAGAAGCTTATAAGGCTATTAAATTTTATAGAAAAAAAATAGTCGATTTTTGTTAATCAGTTACTGCAGTATAAAATAATCTTTTTTAAATACTTTTAAGGCCACTAGAAGCAATTTTTATTTACGTAAGTTGGGTTAAGTCAAATTATTTTAAACCAAGAAATATGTGGCCTTGCATTGTACAGGTCTTTTCGGGACACCTTGTATAAATGCTAGAATGTTTTATTTATTTAAGCAATGTTCTATTCATTTAAGCAATTAAATAATATTTTTAATGAAAAACAAATACAAATTGCTTACTATGGACTTGTAAACTCGGTACTGGGATACTAGCCTGGGAAGGCATACTTAAAACGCATTTAAATAATCTGGAATGGGTTCATAAAAGAATTGTAAAAATAATGTTTAAAAGAGATTTGTATTACTCGGGTAACCAACTTTTGCAAGAAAAAAACATATTAAATGTTAGACAAATATATGCCCAATAACTAATAAAGTGGCAATTTAAAAACGAAAAATACACCAAAACTCATGCATATAATACAAAGGGCAGCATAAATATATTTATTTCCATTCCATTTTGTTCCAATATTTTTTGTTGCTTTTTTTGTTGTAATATATTACAACAAAAAAGGCAACAAAAACTATTGGAACAAAATCTCATACTTATTTAGCTCCCAGACTGTACAATTTTTTGACAAATACTAAATACATACCTAACAAATATTAAAATTAAAGTCTGGTTATTTGAACAATCTCCACATAAAATTGAAAATTTTATTGAAAATGGGACCTTTTCTTAGGTTTGATATGACATATTTTTATATACCTAATATATTTGTAGTATACTGCCCTACTATGGAGAAAGGCAGTAACTACAAAAAAATCTTAATTCATTTTCTTCTGCTATGATAAAGCTATCTTTGTATCTTAATTCAACTAAGAAATGCAGTTAACTATCTTATTACTTAAATAAATCAATTAAATATCTACTGCTTTTTATAAAAATTTAGTTTATGCCAATTTTCCACAGATTTTTTGTTTAGCATTTACTGCCTTTCTCCATAGTTGGGCAGTATAGGTGGTTATAGGATATTATTATTATATTTTAAGAATTATGTTTTATACTATAATATATGTGCATTATAAATATAAAATAATTATGTTTTTATAAAGAATATATTTTATTAATTTGTTATTATTAGCACCAACAATAAGCAATTTTCCTGCTTAGTGGGGATTACTTTCTTTTTATTTAATTTTTAAGTTCTACTTTAGTTTTTAAGTTAAGATTGTACCCATAAAATTTATATTGTACTTATTGATTAAATAAAGATTATTATTATTATTATTATTTATGTTATTCATTTATTTTATTAAGAATAAGTGTTATTTTTTTCTTGTTTTTTTATTATTGATTATTGATAGGCCCCCAAAGAGTTTTAGCCCAGGGCCCCCAAAGTCAACGGTCCGCCCCTGCATTTAAATAGTCAATATGTTTATTTTCTAAAGATGAAAGTTCTAGATGAAGATCAATTTTTTAAATTCACAAGAATTACTGCCCTGGTTAAAATGTCACATAGAGACCCTCTTCAAACCTATAGATTTTTGTATCGGATTGCATGGTATTTCTGGGATTTATGGTTGCTCTATAGGGATATCCTTTCTTGATTTATTTGCTATCGGTCAATACACAAAGGTAGAAATTATTTTTTCTACCATAGGACCCCATAGGTTTTAACAAAATTTAGTCAAATGTTTTATCCCTATATATCCTTCTTTGAGTTATTTGTTATCGGTCTCAATAAGGGAAATGTAAAAGTTGGTTTCCAAACGACACCTAAAAGATGGTATTTGTCCAAAAGAACGATTAGCAATAACATTGCAGTACTCAGTAGCGTAACTAGGGGGGGGGCGGGGGGGGCGGTCCGCCCCGGGCGGCACTTCTTGGGGCGGCAAAAATCGTGAGAGAAAATGCGAAAAAAACTGGAAGACAGAATATAAAAATAAAAAAAATATTTGATAATTAAATATTCTCTTTCGAAATAATATAATTCAAATTCCAATAGATTTGAGATTTATACAATTACTCCCAAAATATTCCAAATCAAATAAAGCTAGCAAAAAATATTTACATACATTTTTATTTATTTTTTACTCAGGTTTAAGTTTTTTTTGTAGGTACTTTTACATAAGGTTGAGAATTTATCTCTTTGTTTTTTTCATATAAATTATGTTAAAGCACATTTTATTTGTTGTTTTTCTTTACCTAGGTCTAAGAATTTTTGTTTGTTTTTAATTCTTAAAATATTACAATTTAATGTTATATATATATGTTATATATATAATTATATATTTTTAATTTTGCGTACGGTCCTCAAAACTGACTCCTAACCTAACCTCTCTCCCCCCCCCCAAAAAAAACATGAGGGCGACAGCCACTGCTGCCCCGGGCGGCACTTTTTCTAGTTACGCCGCTGGCAGTACTTAAGTAGATTGGAATAAAATCTAAGGATACTGTAAAATCAAATCAAAACAAAATAAATGTAATTTATTTTGGATTCATGGTTATATCGAATTGAGCATGCGAAAAACTAGCATCTTGATTGGCTGCTGTTCGCGGTACGAACTGCAAAATTAAAAGTTGGTCAACTCGAACGTCAACGGAAACTGCAACCTCAACGTCAAACTATAAATAACATGGTAGACGATCACATATTTAACTTTTGAACGGGAACTACAACCTCAACGTCAAACTATAAATAACATGGTAGACGATCACATATTTAACTTTTGAACGGGAACTGCAACGACCAACGGCAACGTCAGATCTATAAATCCCGCTTTATATGAACTTCTAAATCCTCCTCTTTTTGCAGGAGAAGTATATGACACTCTATTTTTATATATGTGAATTACATTTATTGCTGGGCGTTGTTAATACTCTTATGAAACAAATGATGCTAAATTTCTCAGAGGATGCAGATAAATGGATTAAAGCTTGTAATGTTCAGAGAGATCACAGAGGCCCTTCATTCAAAGGTTCAGGTTCAGGCGTACCGTGTAGGACCATAATTAAAATTAAACAATATTTTACAAAACAACACAAAACATTGCTAACTAGTTCCATATAAAAAGCAATTTAAATAATATTTTTAAAACATGTCAAAATTGTCATCTTCCTGGGAAAGCATATTAGTTTAGTTCAAATTAAAAAAATAAAACTTATTTAAATCAGCAGGTATCTTTCTCAATTTCACTTAATTATGTAATTCTTACGATCTATAGATATATATAAGTATATAAGTATACTTTTTAATTAAAAATAATGTGAAAATTAATTGTTCAAATTTAATTAATTAATTAATTAACTTACTTATTGCTTTATAAAGGTCAAATTTTTTTAAATGAAAATGGAATTGACTGGTGCACGTCAATATTTTCTTTAAATTGTTTATATGCAATAAAAGTAATATTATGATAATTGGCTAACTATTAATTGTCCCATTTCTTTCAAGGCAATAATATTTTATATTGCCAATTGCCAATTTGAAAATAATATTAAAAAGTTATAAACATGCTTTTTTATAAAGCCAAGAGAACTTAATTACTTTTATTAAATTTTAGTTTTTGTTTGGGTACCCAGGTAACAACTGTGAGGAGCATCAAAACGCACATCGCCTTCACGTCGTGCGGGTAAAAACGCTGCGATATGATATTCATTTTATAATTAATGGGAATACACGCACGTGATTGGTATATGAGGGCACGAAATGATTGCAAACTTTCACTTTTGCTAAATAGTTATCGGAAAATTGTAGATGTAATACTAGATTTACACTACATCTGGCGAAAATTGTTGATTTTACTTCATATTATAACTAAACGATCCAAAAAATTGACTTACAACATATGGTAATTTGTCAAAATACTGGAAGACTACATTTGTATAAAAAAATATACATAATTTTATTTTGAATTCCAAATTGGAATTGATCTTAAGATCACGTTTATAAATTAATTTATCAATAATTAATTTAAGAATTTGTAAAAAGATACCTAAATTTAATTAAAATAAGATATCTTTCTAAAAATGTAGACAATAATTATTGTCAAAAAAAACTAAAATAAATGACTTAAAGAAAAATATCTTTTGAATTATTACCATTATACGAATTCCGTCGAATGTTTTACTTTTTAAAAGTCAGGCTCAATTTAATATAGGTATTTATAAAAATCGTTAAAATTTATCTATTGACTATTAATTTGATTAACGCTTAAATCACTTAAAATGCAAATTTATTTGTCAGCATTTACAAAATTTACGAACGAATATCGAAATTTTACAAAATCATCAAACATAACGATAACGATTCAAATTTGTCTTTATTATTTATTTTTTTGACTGAAAAAGTTTACTGACATTCAAATTTACTTTTGTGAGTTTGTGACTAAAAAATTAAATAATAAAAAAGCCGAGGTTCTGGAAAATACTACAAACATCTTTAAATCATTTTTCATCAAAAACACCGCGAATTTGCCGAACAATTCTCATAAGTCACCCAAAAAAATTAAATAAACTCTTTTTCCCATATATTATATTCACAACGATAAGCATTAGCTGCAGCTGCAGTCGACATTCGTCGGCAGCTAATAAAACTTACCGAAAATACCAACTAGTGAATTCACATAAAAATAAGGATCCGAATTCACTTTCGTATTTTTAACGACCTGACAAATCATTTATGGAAAATGACATTTTTTTTAAATCACCAAAATTTCGTTCCCATTCATTGAAAATATTGAAATAATAAAGGAACCAGAAAAGTTGGGGGCGCGACAAGAAAAGTTAACTGAAATTCTTGGATGCATTTTACAAATTTGTTGAAAAAATGTCGAATTTATGAAAAATCTTTATTGCTGTATGCACAAATTTATCCGATGCACTCAATTTTTGACAATATTCGAAAGCAGTAAATCAAACAATTTTATTTTAAGGTCGCATTCAGACTGGCAAAATGCTTGGCACAAAGAAAAATTTTCAAGATGCAGAGAAACACTAATAAGACATTTGTATTGGGCATGTGATAAAGATATCTACAGACTAACGAAACGAACTGACGAAGGCTATAAAAAATATTACAACAAAGAAGACTGTAAGTAACTATAATAAAGTTAACGTAAGTATTTATCTATATTTTATTTTTATTTTAATAAACTTAAAAGTTATTAGGTACCTGCTAAATTATTTTTAACTATAACTATAGTTAATCTAAATTTAGGATAATGTACAATAATACTAACATTAATAATACATTTATTAAAAAATATTATATTATCATAGGTAGGTATATAAGCAGAGCTGTTCCGAGTACAATGAAAAAGTACTCGAGTATTGAATACAAGTACTCTTATGTAAAAGTTCTCGAGTACCAAGTACAAGTACAGTACCGTTGTACTCGAGTACCGAGTTATGAAATGTTGGAAAAAATACTAGAGAAATGGGGCGATTAAGAAATGAATTTAAAATGACTAGTGCAAAACTAAATACTAGCCGGCCTATTGCCTTCATCAAATATTGATATTTCGATTTATGTTAATTATCAAGGCCGGCTAGTATCTTGTTTTACTTTTTCTTGGCTTTATCTTTTAATTATCTTTTTGAGGAATATTGTCACCTTATTTCTACCAAAATATAAACAAAATTACATTTCATACATAAGTAAAAACCTTCTGTTTAATGTTTTTTCCTGTGTCTTTTTATTTATTGATTAAGGCTGTATTAAGGCTGTCGTGTGAGGCAGGCTGACTGAGGCTGCATTGCCAAATTTTCAACACCCACGCACATATTTGCACATATGTGTCCACGCCAACCTCACCGCATAAAAATTTACTCATTGCATACTTTGGATGTACTCGAGTACACGTAAAAGTACTCGAGTACACGGGAAAGTACTCGAGTATATTTTTGCAATCTTAAATGTATCAAGTACAAGTATAAGTACATTCAAATTAAAGTACTCGGGACTGAGTACCAAGTACACTGAAAGTACTTGGAGTACAGTGTTTGAGTACTTGTACTCGAGTACCGCACAGCTCTGTATATACTTATACCTATACTTACTACTCTGTATATACTTACACCTATACTTACAATAATTTTAAATTTTAGATAAATTTCCTTGGATCGCACCGAACAAAGCTAAAAGATTTTTAAAAACAAAAAGGGGATCATCGATAACTTCAGAATGTTGCAAATCTTCTGGTTGCACATGGGAAGAATATGCCGAATATTGCCCAACAAATAAACGTCGCACTATGTACAATACCATAGTATAATTATAATAATTATATAATTATTATTATATGTGATTTAACGAAATTTAGTTTTAAAACTAGATAAATATTTATTTTTAAAAATGAGTAAAACCATTAATTAATTACATACGCATAATGGGTAAGGAGGCAATTGCCAAATATCTTGACGTATAAATTGTTTTGGATGCTACAAGGTTTAAGTATGATTTTAAGAAAAAAAGTTCAGATTAATTGATTGATTAACTTAAGCCCGCAAGCGCTTTATTTTGGGGATATAGGCTATTTAAATTTGAATAAAATTATAATAAAACTTTCTTCCTTACTATCATCCAAGAATTGAGCTCATTCAGTACAAGCATTGTATTTTTTGATTGCGATATATATATATATATACAGTTTGTACTTTTTTGTTTTGTTTTCTGAACTTTGTTAAAGACGGACCTATGTGTTTTGTAACATTTTAGGGATTGAACAATTGTAATGTATTGTGACAGGGGTCAAAGTAATGAATTTTAGTAACGTTTTTTTATGGTTGGCTGAACCAACGTGGTTCCTAGTTGCCAAACCATAAAATGATTTGTTAGTTTACTGTAATATTATTAATAAACTAAAATTAATAATCTACTTTTCCACATATCGGTTCAATAATTTTCAATTTTTTCTAAAGTAGCGAAAAATAGGTACAGCAATAAATTATATTTAAAATGTCTTGTTGTGTTAAATTTTAAAACATTTAGATTTAAAAAATTTTAAAAATATTTTACGACCATTGCCCTTGAATTTATTTTAAAATTACCTAAAAGTTTTTAAAATGCATTTTTATTTGTAAAGTAAAAAATCGGACATGCCTATTTTTTTTGGTTTTACGATAATATTTTACCCGAATTTTTTCCATGTGATTATATCAAACATCTTGAGGATTTTTAAATTTTTTTACCAAAAATTAGGTAAACAGAAAATCCCTACAACTTCAGTATATCCCCATGCCTACATAATGAAGTTTATATAAACACATATTTTAGCATGCACAAACATGATGTTCCCGTACTAATGTACTAAGCTAAGGTAATTAATGTAATCCTGACACTTATATTTCCTGCACCGTAGAAATATCTATAAGCAAGAAAAATCAAGTCGAGCCGACGTCAAATGTACGTATTTTCAAAACTAAGACCATGCCTAATAGAGAAAGAAAAAAAATAACATTTAGTTTTATGTGAAGTGAAAAATTAAATCTTTTATTTGGTAGTTAACACTCTTGGGGTATAAATAGCTTATAAAGCTAAGTTTTTTTGGTGTCGTCCCATCTCGGGACCTCCCATCTCGGGACCTAGGGAAAATTTACCTGTTTCTGTGCCATCTCGGGACCGAGTCTACAGGTACAAGTTTAAAAGTGCCATCTGAGGACCTAAGTAAAAGGATTACTTCGCGGTCAGTTTTTACATGTAAGCATTGAAGGAATATTGTATTATTTTGCAAAATTATTAAACAGCGTCTATTTTATGCTACTGCAAAGATATTTTTAAAACTATAATATTTTAAAAAGTTATATATCTTTCAATCTATTTTATGGATTAACAAACACAAAACATTTAAAAATCAAACCTATGGGGGGGCCAATGGGGCGGGGTCGGTAGGGTTGTGTTGTTGAGTTTGGCAAATTTTTGCTGTGTATAATCAATATCTATTTTTTACAAGTTTTTTTTTTGCATTTTTATTGCATTTTTGTCCATTTTGTTGATTTTTGCTCATTTTGTTTTTTGTTTTGTTGTGCTGTTAAAGTTAAAGTGTCCCGTTAATAACAAAAAGCCGTGCAGCCGCCTTAAGTATTTTGTTCATGACAGGTATAAAAATGTATTACCTTGTATAGGTCCCGAGATGGGACTTTTTAATTTTGGAAACTTTATGGCTTAGGGTCTGGGTCCCGAGTTGGGAAAGGTCCCGAGATGGGAGGTCCCGAGATGGGACTAAGCCGTTTTTTTACCATTATAGTTTAAACAGTATCAATGATGAAGGTGCAAGTATACTAAACTTTTAGCGGTGCAAACAAGAAAAAAAATTAAACCACATGTATAATTTAAAAGGTTAGATACTTAACGCATAGATGACCGAAGGTCAATTCTAATGTCAGTGACAGATACCTAACCTCTCTCCTTCTACTGAAATTTTACTTAAGTGACATATACCTAACCTCAATTTTACTAAAGGTGACCTAAGTGACATATACCTAACCTCAAATCTACTTTATTTTTCAATAGGGGTGGGCAAAATAATCGATTATTTTATTATTATAATAATAATTATTATTTTAAATAAAGAATGTACGTACATTGTCAGCATTTTTACTTATACATTATGCCCAATATTTAATTGCCATACATAATTATCTAATCGTAATAATTATTATAATTAATGAATTGTTATCATTAAAACAATCAAATAAGTAAATATAAATAATATGACCAATGGAATAGATTTTTTTTTAAACTAAACAAAATAAAAATAGTGATTTTTATGATTTAGGCTGGGTTTAAAAAATTTTAAAACATGCATAAGTAATAAAAAAAACAAGACAATTAATACTTTAATCAATTAATCGAAAAAATCGATTATTTTAGATCGCCCAGCCCTAATCAATACCATAGTTACAACCAACTTGGTTGAACCAAGGTTACATCAAACAGTGCGCACAGTACGCAAAAAAATCCGGGAAATTTTGTGTAAATTTACCTTAATCACAAAAATGACACAATCAACAATAATTGAAAGATTGGTCGACTTACCTGTAAGGAAGATCGATCTTAATTATTTGAGTGGTCCTGTCTGAAAACAATTACCTAATTCACCATGTAGTACACCATTCTGCTGCGCAAAGTTTAAAGCAACAATGATTAATTTTTTGTTGCATAGCACCTATAATTCAATTCTGTCAATATAAATCATTCCCATTTTGCAACCTACTAATCACAGATTATAAAGGCTACCGATCGCGCTGGGTTTAATTCGGGAAGGGTGGGAGGTAATTGTTTTCAGACAGGACCACTCAAATAATTAAGATCGATCTTCCTTACAGGTAAGTCGACCAATCTTTCAATTATTTTTCGTGGTCCTGTCCTCAACAATTACCTAATTCACCATGTAGATGTTTAAAGGATCCCTTATATAAAGCGATCTTAATTCCTAAGAAAGTAAACAATAAAATATTTGATCTAAATTTATATTTATATATTTAATTTATATTTGATGTGACAAAGAAATCGTTCAAACATGATGTAGAGAAATACATATAAAAATGTTTTTATTACATGTTATTGCCACTATTCAAAAAAGCAAACTTAATTCTAGTTTCTAATTCATTTTTAACATTATTTTTAACTGGATTATTATTAACTTAAACTTAACAATTGTTAATAATTAATTATGGAATTTGCAAATTGTGAGGTGTTCTTTTGTAAAGGTTTATTGTAGAACTTGTTAAAGACTTCAGAGTTTTTAGACCATCCAGCAGTCTCTTTTATAATTTCTATGTTTACTCCATTTCTTGCCGCCTTCGATGTGCTCGCATGGCGGGTACTATGTGCAGAAAATACCGTTATGTCAATTCCGCTTAGTGCCATTACTTTTTTAATCCATCTACTGATGGTCTGTGATGTTGCTGGGTGGTGTGGTTTTTTGAATGTAAAAAATAAAGGAGAGTTATTTTGAAGTCTAACATGGTTTGTTTTTGTTATATAGTATTTAATTAGAGAAGCAACACATAATTTTGGTTTTTCATGAAAATACGGAAGAACAATGATAGGTTGTAATTTATTTGGCCCCGAAGTTTTTATTTTTTGTGTGATTCTAATTTTAATTTCTTGATTTGTAATATTAATATTGTCACAAGTTATTTTGGAGAGTGTTTGTACTCTATGACCAGAAATGAGTGCAAGCAAAGTTGCTAATTTTAACGTTAAATCTTCTAAGGGTAATGTTTCATTTGGGAATTTTTGTTCTAAATAATCCAATACCTGTGAAGGATCCCAGGTTTCTGCATATTTAGGTTTGGATGGTTTTATATTGTAAATACCTTTTAAAAAACGAGAAACGACTTTTTGGTCATTATCGTTAGGAATGAATATTAACGAAAGTGCGGATCTAAATGTGTTAATTAAAGCATGACTTTTTCCCTGTTGGAATTTTTGTGTTAAGATTTCAATTATTTTTTCCAGTTTATATTGGTAAGGGTCAGTATTCTTGGATAAGCAAAAATCCCACCACTGTTTGTAACAAGTGTCGTATTGTTTTTGTGTTTTTTCCGAAATGGATGCCATTAGAATTTTTATTGCCTCTTCAGATTTTATTTTGTTTTTATAAGCGTTCCTGATAATCTCGAAGCAACCAGGGTAAGACTTCGATGAAGCTGATGGCTCTTTCTAAAAGGTGAAAACAATAAATTATATCTTGGTGGAAAAATTATTTCTTGTTCTGTTATTTGTTTAAGCATGGGGTACCAAGGTTGGTTTGGCCATTTAGGTGTTATTATTATTCCTTTTGCTTTGTCTTTAATTATTTTACTTATAACTTTTGTAATCAAGACAAAGGGGGGAAAAGCATAAAAATATTTGTCGTGCCATGATATTGTAAACGCATCTACTGCAATAGAGTCTGGGTCTTGTTTCCAAGAAACATATTTTGTGCACTTTTTATTTAGACGTGAGGCAAACAAGTCTATTTCCGGAAAACCAAATGTTTTTGTTATTTGAAAATATGCTGCATTATCTAACTCATACTCGGTTTCAATAGATGTGTTTCTTGATTGTATGTCGGCATCGATGTTTTCCGATGATTTAATGTAGGAGGCGAAGACAAATATATTTTGCTTTTCACAGAATTGCCAAATTTTTCTTGATATGCAATTTAGTTTTTTAAATTGCACGCTGCCCATTCGATTGATGCATGCGATGGCAGTTTTATTGTCTATCCTTAATAATATGTTGCATTTTCGAAGGAGTTTTGTAAAGGATTTTAAAGAGTAAAAAGCTGCTAGCAATTCCAAATAATTTATGTGCATTTCTTTTTCATGTTCATCCCAAAACCCACATGTTCTTTGGTTATTGCAGTATGCCCCCCAACCTGTTTTAGATGCATCTGAAAATATTTCTAAAATGTAATTTTCAGAATTCAATTCTTTGTAAGAATTGTTAATATTTTTAAGCCACCATTCGAAATCATTTGTTAAAAATTTTGGAAGAGTCATGATTGCATCAAAATTGTTGTTATTTTGTTGCAATGCTAGTAACTTTTCACGTTCAAAAAGTTTGACGTAGAGCCATCCATATTTGATTGCTGGACATGCTGCAATAAGCTGACCGATCAATTTCGAAAATTGTCGAATGGAGATAGTGTCCATTGATTTTATTTCGATAATTGAACTATATATTTTTGACATTTTTATTGGTGTTAATTTTATCGTTTGATCTATTGAATTTATAATAAATCCTAAAAATTCAATTGAATGTGATGGTTTTAGTACACTCTTTTCTATATTGATTATGAAACCCAAAGATTGTAATAATTTGCACGTGTCTGTTAAATTTTCTTTGCACTGTTTTTCTGTTAAACCTAACAGAAGTATATCGTCTAAATATATAACAGAAACGAATCCTTTTTCCCTGAGTTTTGCCATTACTGGTTTTAATAATTTGGTAAATACTAATGGAGCAACATTTAGGCCAAATGGTAAGCAATTAAAGTGAAAAATATTTGAATTGTATCTGAACTTTAGATATTTTCGAAATTCCTTGTGTATTGGAATGCTAAAATAGGCGTCTTTTAAATCGAGTTTTGCAAAATAACAATTTTGTGTAACTAGTTTAATTACTGTTCTATAATCCTCTAATTTAAAATGGGACGTTGTTATAAAATTATTTAATTTTTTAAGATTTAATATAAATCTCATCTGACCATTTTGTTTTTTCCTTAAAAAATAACTGGAAAAGAATTCTCCTTTCTCGCTTTTAGAATGGGATATGGCACCTATTTTTAACAGTTGATGTATTTGTTTATCAACTTCTTTACATTGAGGCATTTGTCTCAAAATTCCCTTTGTTTGATGGGGATTAATATTGAAAGGTATAATTAGACCTTTGACTATTTGTAATATGTTGTCATTTTTGCAAAATTCGAACCAATTTACATAATAATTTGAAATATTTCCAGCGTACTTGCTTACATTTATTGATTTTTGTTGTAATAATAAGTCTTCTTCCATTTCTCTTCCCCCTGTTGGTTGTACTGCTTGTTTTTGTATTGATTGTTTTTGAATTTGTATTTCTGGTATGGTCGCTGGTAGTTTAAATTATTCGTGGTTCTTTTAGGGCCCTGACTTGGATAGTTATTATTCTTATATGAGTAATTGACCTTCTGGCTGAAATTTGTTTTGGCGATTTTGTTTCCTACTTGCTTCAAAGCCTCCGCGTTTTTTATTTCTTCCTGCAGATTTGCTTGAAATAATTTCTCTCCAATTGGTTGTTTTTCGACTGCTTTTCTTATCTCGAATTTCAATTGAGGTCCGATGACGTACCTTCTGTGTCCAGATATGGCATGATGGACGTCACAAAGTATTTTACCAGCATTTGCTAGGTGATTTACCATCTCAGTGTTTTCTGGTGCGGGTTCATTAATAAATTTATTGATTGGGATGGCTAGTGCCATTAAACCTTTTCCAATCTGAGTTTGTAATGACATGAAAAACTTATCCTGCTTAACTATATCCTCAGGTAAAGATGTTTGCATTTCTTGATTTAAATTTGGCCCCTGTAAAGCAATACAATTTTCGGGGACGCTGTATTTCTCCAGAGCTTCTGATCTTTCTTCTTTTTTTATGCCTTCAATCAAAAAACTTCTCCATCTTACAGCAATTTCCTCGTGTAATTCTGAATTTGAATCGTTCTCTTTAGTAGGGGCCTTGCCCAACACCTTTACAATAGGGTCGTTGGTGTGATGGATTTGAGCTTCTGTCGTAATGACAGGATCGACATTTTCATTTTCATCTATAAAAAATGATTTTTGTTATTTAAACTAACAGTTTTTTGTTGCAGATCATATGATCGCTTTGTTTTGTTATGTATGGTATATCATGTGATAACCTTTAAAATAAACTTTTCGACTTATCTGTGATTTTTTCCACACTAATACTTATTCTTTTTTAACTATATAACTTTATGTCATTCAATGACAACGAAAAAATTATATTCGTATATAATGTTTTATTCATAAAAATATGTTCAATAGACTTACCATTAGAATTAGGGCTACTTTCATAATTTAATTGTTCCTGGATTTTAGCAATTTTTCTGTGAAGTTTGTCCAATTTTCGAATTTTTCTTCGTTTGGATGTATGCAAAGACACTTCCTCATCAGTCATCTCTGCTCTTATTTAATAATTTTTAAAAATTATCAATTAATATGTTCCAATTCATGAAAACGAACTGACCACTTTGAGCGCAAAATGGTGAAATGATTTATATTGACAGAATTGAATTATAGGTGCTATGCAACAAAAAATTAATCATTGTTGCTTTAAACTTTGCGCAGCAGAATGGTGTACTACATGGTGAATTAGGTAATTGTTGAGGACAGGACCACGAAAAATAATTAACAAAAATAGCACACAAAGTCTTGAAGACGTCTTCTGTATGTCTGTATTATGCCTGAACGTCTGAAGATCTATAAAACACGTCTTAAAGATATCTGATACCGCCGTATATTTTTTTGAATAAGAGACCTTTTTTGTAGAGCGTTACATTTTATTTAAGAAACTTCAATGATCATTGCCATAAGTTA